GTTAAGAACGGTGTCTGTTTCATCTTACCCCAAGTTCCCCTCAAGGCTTGGACTGTAAAGGGTTAAGAACGGTGTCTGTTTCATCTTACCCCAAGTTCCCCTCAAGGCTTGGACTGTAAAGGGTTAAGAACGGTGTCTGTTTCATCTTACCCCAAGTTCCCCTCAAGGCTTGGACTGTAAAGGGTTAAGAACGGTGTCTGTTTCATCTTACCCCAAGTTCCCCTCAAGGCTTGGACTGTAAAGGGTTAAGAACGGTGTCTGTTTCATCTTACCCCAAGTTCCCCTCAAGGCTTGGACTGTAAAGGGTTAAGAACGGTGTCTGTTTCATCTTACCCCAAGTTCCCCTCAAGGCTTGGACTGTAAAGGGTTAAGAACGGTGTCTGTTTCATCTTACCCCAAGTTCCCCTCAAGGCTTGGACTGTCAAGGGTTAAGAACGGTGTCTGTTTCATCTTACCCCAAGTTCCCCTCAAGGCTTGGACTGTCAAGGGTTAAGAACGGTGTCTGTTTCATCTTACCCCACGTTCCCCTCAAGGCTTGGACTGTCAAGGGTTAAGAACGGTGTCTGTTTCATCTTACCCCAAGTTCCCCTCAAGGCTTGGACTGTCAAGGGTTAAGAACGGTGTCTGTTTCATCTTACCCCACGTTCCCTTCAATGACGAGTTTAGACATAAAGCAGCCGAGCAGCTACAATTTTTTTTTCAATTTTATTTACTTGTCGTCATCACTTGAAACAACGACGTAATAGATTTAAAAACACTGTAAAAAAATAAAAACAGAATAAACACGCTGACCTAGACATGATTGAAAGTTATAATGGTTTAATTTAACAATTTACACCTAGAATTAGTGCGGGGCCTATGAAAGTGCGGGGCCCACAGCGGCCGCATAGGTTGCAGTGGCCTAAAGCCGGTCCTGCTTATCTGCAAGGTCAAAGGTCAGAGATAATTGATGACCTTCGCCACTATCAATGGCTCATTAAAACGATATCAACATACGTATACACCTACCAAAAAACTTTCTTTTGTTGTACTAAGACGTGGATCGGATTACTTAGGAATAAGCCCCGGCTGTAGGTTTACGTGGACATTTATGTGAGTCATTTTAAAGTGAAAGGAAGTGGTCCAAAGATTGATACGTATGAGAGATCTTTAAGTTGATCTTTTCGTATGGTGCTCATAAATGTCCATAAAACACAAAGGAGTTTGTGAGCACCAGTATTTCCTCAATTCGACATAACAACAAA